GAACCACCGACCTTGCAGTTCAAACTGACTTTGCCGTCCAGTGCCTTAACCCACAGTGCCACACCAGGACTGCCTCTGTCCCCATGGTAACCACTAATTCAATGAAATTTAGTCTAATCTTTCCATTTTCAGGATGAAGAAAGTGGGCCCAGAGCGAGAACGTTTGCTACCTTGCTATCCTTTAGCTCCATCTAGTAGTTGGTTGAGAACTTACAGAACTCTCAGATCATGGCTCACAAAAGGAACCTTCTCAGGGAAGCTTGGCTACAACAATTATAATTAATGACAAGATGAAAATTCTGGCAGCAAGTTTGTGACTCATTCTTGTATTGCCTCACAATAATGATCTTGCTACAAACTTGATTTGTCTCAGGATTTGGACATATATATAAGGGTTGCTAACCAGCCACAATTCATGGAAGGGAATCCATGTCCTAAGTTTTCGCCAAAGGATGTGAAATTGAAGTTGAAAGCAAATAGAGGTTCCTCCACATTTGTTGCTGTTTTGCTATGCAGATTTTTTTCCTCATTCCTGGAAATTAGGAATGTTGAGAGGATTTCAAAATCAGGCTTTCTAATGTAAATCTAAAGATGACTTCCAACAAATTAGCATCTGTGAAATTAACAAGTCTTTTTCCATCTGTGTTATGTTCTACAACAATGCTTCTAGACTTTAGACAGGATCTCATATTAGGAAACAGATAGTAGCCAATTCATAGAAAGCAAGTCAACAATGTAATGTCCTTAAGCATCTCTTAAATACATCATCATAAAATTGGAGAATTTTTAAGCTGGAAAAGATCTCAGGCTTTACTGGATCTAATGCTTTCATTGCCAAAGGCAAAAGGAGTAACATAACATGTACATAGTCACTCATTCCCAATAGTATTACTAGCATTTTGAGAAAGATTTGTATAGAGAAATAGCAACAACAACAATTATAAAACAAGAATGCAAGGAGACAGATGTTAAGGATACTGACATTCAGAGCACCTGTCTCTGAACAATGGCGTCCCACAGCTTTGTTCCTTAACTTTCTTTGCTGATTCAATCCAGTCTTCTAAACCAGGTAACATCTGTTCCCATGAGCACCAGTATTCCCAAGCAAGCGTCTTACCTGATGCCCACGCCTTCCTTTTTCTCCCTTAGGGCCTTGGAAGTAACTATCAGTTCCAGGATCCCCCTGAGAAAATAAAAGGTGGGTTACCTCAAGTGGACTGCAAAGAAAGGAAAAGAAATGACAGGAAGAAGGATATTTAAAAGAAAAGTAAACCAAAGTAGACCTTTCCATTGTCAAGGACTTTTAGTAATAATCCCAAACACCCACTGCAATTAAAATTCCAACCCCTTCAAGAACCTAGATTCTTGGAGAAGGAAATGTATTACAAGTATAATTGTCTCAATGAACAACTACCTTCTTTGCCATGTTGTTGTTGCCGTTAACTGCTGTTGGGTCAGTTCCAACTTCTAGTGTCTCTGTATAGGGTTTCTGAGGAGCAACTGGGGAATTTGAACCACCGACCTTTTGGTTCAAACTGACCTTGCAGTCCAGTGCTTAACCTACAGTGCCACACCAGGACTCTTTACCATGAGACCAAAAGAAATGGATGGTACATGGCTAACATTATTGAATATTTTGATCAAGGATCTAATAGATGGATCTTGATCAAAAGGAGCAAAAATATGGAACAGGATTTCAATTTCTTATTGGAAACCAGACTTACTGAGTACATTGAGACTGGGGGAACCCCAGAATATATTTCTTGGAAGCAGCTTTTAAGCCTTGAACTGAAACTATTGTAGGAAATTATCTTTCAACTAAACAACAACATAGCTCATTTAATAAATAATGATCACCTTGAGCATTGTACTTGTTTAAACAATGATTTATATGAGATTAAATGGACAACAGTAACTCTAAAGCAACCATAATTCTAAAACACAGTTAAGAACTTTAAGGGGCAGAGAGTCTACGTTAGCAATGATGAAATAGTAAGGACAGAGATAAGAATGGTGACGTAAAATGAAGTCTGTAACCATAATTATTGGCATTGTACTATACATGTAAAATTTGTTGAATAGGAATATATATTTTGTTGTCTATATGTAGGGTCTGTGTGAGTCAGAACTGACTCAACCGCACTTAACAACAACAACAGTTTTCACAAAAAAAAACAAGCCCTAGACTGTCCATAAGGTGGCTTTCCTCTCAACTCTCTTATTTGTACTAATTCTAAGACAGCTGAACAGTTGCCTCATTGATGAATAGCCAATTGCTCTTTGTCTTGTGTCAGGCAAGCAGACCACAATCCCAGGGAGGAAAGCAGAACAAGTCCTCCCCTCATCGGTTACTCACAGGATCTCCCCTTAAACCTAGTGCTCCACGCTCTCCAGGTCTTCCTGGGGGTCCCGTCAATCCCTTAAATCACAAAGAAAAAGTGATCATCATTATTACCTCTTGCCTAAAGAAAAGAGAACATTAGAGGAGAAAATAAGAGTCAAGTTCAAAGAACATTTTGTTATTATTGTTAAGTGTGGTCAAGTCAGTTTCAGCTCAGAGCAACCCTGTATGGGGTTTCCAAGGAGCATCTGATGGGTTTGAATCGCTAACTTTGTGGTTTGCAGTCCAGAGCTTACCCTACAATACCACACCAGGATTACTTAAATGTTAAAGCATTTGTTGACACAAGTAGGTTGAGATGTAAAAACAGTTACCCTTGGCCCTGGGTACATCTTGCCTCATGTAAACCTCACAATGCAGGAATTAATCTCAGTGGCAAATGTGGGGGCTGAGGCTTGGGGAAGATGGACTAGGGCCTCTCTTCTATCAAACACCTTTCCACACCTTCCTGATAGTTCCACACAGGAAAAGATGTGAGAAAAAGAATTAGGGTTTCTCTACCATGGATATGGGCAACACTATGTGAAGTAGTAAATCTCATGAAAGAGAAGAGAAAGGAGAACACAGTGCTTGCAGAACTCCTGACTACTTCAGACAGGGAAACAGGTAAAAGGACTTGCTATAGGACCATGATAAGTATAAATGGTTGCTTCTCTTAATAACCTGCCATAAATAGTAACGTCTCTATGTAGTGGTTTCTGGAGAGCCACAGAATAGGGGACATGCTCCCCCAAGTACCTTCTTCAAGTGCTATGCTGGTTCTGGTGGGAATGACCCCACAAACTGAGAACAGTGACATAAAGCTCTCCTCTAGTATATGGTATTTTCATTGACCTCATATACTTGTGAAAGTTGGACAGTGAGTAAGGAAGACCATAGAAGAATTGATGCATTTGAGTTATGATGTTGGAGGAGAACATTAAAAGTACCATGGACTGCCAAAAGAACCAACAAAGCTGTATTAGGAGAAGTACAGTCAGAATGCTCCTTGAAAACCAGAATGACCAGACTTCGTCTCTCATACTTTGGACATATTATCAGAAGGGATCAGTCCCTGGAGAAGGACATCATGATTGGTAAAGTGGAGGATTGGAGAAAAAGAGGAAGACCCCGAATGAAATAGATTGGCACAGTGGCAGCAACAATGGGCTCAAACTTAGCAATGATTGTGAGGTTGGCCCAGGATTGGGCTGTGTTTCGATATGTTGTGGATAGGGTCACTGTGAATCAGTACCAACTCGATGGCACCTACGAACAACAACTGGGATGTAGCTCTCAGTTACACAGGCAATGGAATGTTCTCTAGGCTCTTAACCTCACATGAGAGTCCTTTCTATGTTTAATGGTAAAAGGTAGCTGCTGGTGTTAGGTGCCAATGAGTTGATTCTGACTCACAGCAACCCTGTATAGGGTTCCGGAGGCTAAGAAAGTCTCATCTTTCTTATGTAGAGTGACTGGTAAATTTGAACTGCTGATCTGAGGCTAGCAGTCCAGTGCACATCCTACAGCACCCCCAGCACATGTATATATATATAGTCCTGGTGTGGCACCTTAGGATAAGCACTCAACTTCAAGGTCAATTTGAACCACAAGGTTGGCAGTTCAAACTCACCAGATACTCCTTGAAAACGTTATACAGAGTCACTGTGGGTTGGAACCGACTTGATGGCACTTAACAACAACATATGTTTATTTACACACACACAACATAAAATGTACCATTGTCACCATTTTTAATAATTCCGTGGTATTAAGTACATTCACAGTGTTATGTCATCATCAGCACCATCTTTACCAGAACGTTTCTATCATTCTAAACAGAAACTCTGCTGCACCTTTCTAGGAGAATCAAATGCAGTCTTTTATGTATCCTCTTTAGTTCCTTTTTTGTTTTTGTGTCTTCTCTTCTTTTCTAAATCATTCTAAATTCAAATCCTACTATAAATTTACTTTTGATTGTTTTTGTTAGTTGCCATCAAGTTGATTGCAACTCAGGGTAAGCCCATGTGTTACAGAATAGAGCTGTTCCATGGGTGTTCTTGGCTGTAATTGTTACTGAAGCACATTGTCAGACTCTTCTTCTGAAATACTGTTTTAGGTTAGCAGCCAACCTCCCCAGTAACCTTCATAATTTACTATCCAGGCCAATTTCTTTGGCTTTTCTAAGACTCAGTTTTCTCATTTGTGGAATGGTTGTGCTTATCTCATAGGCTGCTGTGGGATTAAATGCAATAAAAAATTAAAAGCACTTGACACAGAGTTTGGTATATTGTACCTATAATGATTGTCACTTCTAGTTCTTTATTCTTCTAACCCAGACACTTGGCTTCCAGAGTAGTCTTCTAAACCTGTAGCTTTGAACACAAGTCTCTCTTATTTAAACACTTTTAACAGGCCCTGATTCTTGTTATGTGCCATCGAGTTGGTTCTGACCCGTAGCAACCCTGTATAGAGTTTCTGAGGAGCAGCTGGTGAGCTCGAACCATGGACCTTGCAGATCAAACTGACTTCACAGTCTAGCACAATAACCCACAGTTCCACACCAGGACCAACAACATCCAAAACTCGTACCCATGGCCTTAAATTGATTCCCACTTGCCTTTTCAGACTTCCCTCTGACTCTTTATACTTGATTTCATCTCTTCATACCTACTGAATTGGAATCCTTATTTCTCCAAATCTGTCTTGAATTCTTCTAACTTTAAACCTTTCCTTGTGCCTTTTCCGTAGACTGCCATGCCATGTATCTCTCTCCCAACCCTCTCACAGAGGTCTGAGTGAAAATTCAGGAATACCTGAATCCTCTCCACCATTAAGAACCCTGCTCAAATGCCACAAGGTCTTATTATGGATGGTTGTTCTCTTGCCTCTTTCTGCCTCCCTCATCCCTTGATTAACTATTATTCATTCTTTAAATTTCAGCCTCATCTTCGCTTGCTGGATGAAGTCTTCCTGACTGCACAGGCTGGATCAGCTCCCTCTGTCATGTACCTCTCCTTCATGCACTCATTTCAGAGGTAATGTTACATCTTTCTTCTTGATTATTTCATTAAGGTTTGACTCTCCCTATATAGGCCAATTCTGAGATACTGAACCCATGTCTGTTTTGTTCCCTAGTCTACAATCATGCCTGGATTATAATAGATGCTCAGTAAAATTTGATGACAGATCAAATGAAGAAAAATCAGTCTATTATTCATTATAGTTTCCAAGCCACCATGTTCCCACTGATTATTTGTCCCACTCTTACAGTCTTTCTCCTATACCATCTAGTGTTACTGTTTTTCCAGTACAAATACAACCGTCTGTACTGGATAAGCTCTTGGTTGGTCATAACCATGTCTTGTATGTCTTTGAACTCTTTTTTGTATGTTCCACCAGTAGGACACAAAACTTCAATAAATATTTGATGAGTGCTTATTGAACTTAACAAAATTCAACTAAAACTAGAAGTTCTCCCAAGTTGAGGAGGTGTGCTGTCCTCCAGCTTCTTCAAAATCTGATGCACAAACTGCAGTTGGAAATGAAACCTCAATGAAGAGCTATGTCTTCTGACTTTCCATGTTTCACTTATAAGGAAATCTATCCACACCATTGTTCATCCTTGGAGAGACATACACTGCTCCTATTCCATGAGAAGTATTAAGAAGTAAATGTAAAACATTCACTTCCCATGAGAAAACAAGGAAGACATTCAACAAGATGGATTGACACAGTGGTTACAAGAACAGGTTCCAGCAGAGCAATGATTGTGAGAATGGTGCAGGCCTGGACCATGTTTCATTGTACAAGGGTCACTATGAGTCAGAATTGACTCAACGACACCTAACAACAACAACATATCTGCATAGTACTTCATTGAGAAGGATCCTAGCCATGCTTGGATTTCACAGGAAAGAAAATTGTACTCAACTAATAGGCTAAAGGCTGTGTCCTGGACACAGAAAGGAAAAGTTGCAGTCTATAGGCCATTTATAATCACTGGAAAATAAATAGCACGAGGAATGTAAGTTATAAAGACAGAGGAGGGAGAGAATGCTACAAACTGCTATGAGAAGAAAAAAAGAGGACCTAGACAAGAAAGAAAAGTGAGTACATCCTCCAGAGGATGGAGGCCCCAGAAAGGCAGGCTAGGATGGGGCTCCTGTCATGAGCAAAGACTAGAGGACATGTATAAGGATGTCCAGGGACAAAGAGCAGGACAACCTGACTAGTCAAGGTACTTTGTGATTGAGATTAGTGAAGGATGTGGTTGAAAGGGCTCTGACTGTGAGAGGAGCTCATTGTTGACAGGAAGTCAGTGAAAATTTCTAAGACTGGTTGTGACTAGATTACCATTCTACAGCACAAGAGGTGAAACAACTTGATTTTTGCTACTCATCTCAAAACAGCAGAGTCAAGTCTTAAGTAAGTTTCCAAATAATCACCTAATATTAAGTCTAACATTTAGACCACTGGATAATTATTTTCCAGAGATTAAAAACCAACTATCAATGTGATTTTGGTGGTGAGTGGTTGTGGTGTGCTACCAAGTCAGCTCCGACTCACAGCACCCCACAGAGCACAGAGAGATCTGAACTGCTGACCTTTCACTTAGCAGCCCATAGCTTAAACACTATTCTGCCAGGGCAGTAGAAATAATAGAATATTCTCATACTTTACCCGATTTCCTCTACTTCCTTTTTCTCCAGATGATCCTGGGACTCCATGTTCACCCTATAAAAGGAAAAATATACAAAGACGACTTGTTATATTAGTTAGAAATCTTTTTTATGTAGTTTTACATTTTAACTAAGAGTACAAAGTTTTCTAGCTATTCTGTTTCTGACCACATGACAGACTAGAACACCCCTCCCACTAAAAAATAACTTAATATTGCAGTGGTACTATAGGATAAGTGTTCAACTAACAAGTCCCAACTAGGATGTATATATAGTCTCTGATGTAGCATGGTAGGCTAAGCACTGAACTGGCAACCTACAGGTCAGCAGTTCAAACCCACCAGCTGTGCTCAGAAATGCTATACATGTATGCAGTGTATGTTGTTGTTGCTGTTAGTAAGCCTTACAGGGTTTCCAAGGAGTGACCAGTGGGTTTGAATTGCTGACCTTTCAGCTCAAACTGACCACACAATCCAGTGCATTTTCCTGTAATGCCACACTGTGACACCATATGCAATACATATATGTTTGTTTTTGTTGTTCAAACACATAGCAACCCTGTATAGGGTTTCTGTGAATTCTCTATATATATACATATGTTGTTGTTGCTGTATGTCATCAAATCAGTACCAATTCATAGCGATCCAGTTTAGGGTTTCTGAGGAGTAACTGGTGGGTTTGAACCACTGACTTTATGGTTAGCAGGCCATTGCTTAGCCTACAATGCCACACCTTTGTTGTTGTTAAATGCCATCAAGTTGTTCCTACTCATAGTGAACTTGTATAGGATTTCCAAGGAGTGGCTGGTGATCTTGAACCTCCAACCTTGTGGTTCAAATCAACTTTGCAGTCCAGCACATTAACCCACATTGCCACACCAGGATTCCACAGTGCCACATTGTTGTTGTTGTTAAGTTCCATCGAGTCAGTTCCAACCC